GGAACACTAGGCGGTGATTTGCGGATTATATTTTTGCACTTGAATCTGAATAAAATATAGATAAAAACAAAAGTTGCAATACTTACTTAGTTACTGGATGATGAATGGTCCTGTGCTTGGCTTCCTCGGGCGCCGAAATCAAGGCTGCACGCTGCTCCAACGCATTCTTCGGCATGCAATCACCTAGTGCTGTGTATTTATGCAGATCCACACATTCAATACACTGCACTGTGTAGTCTAACAATACACTCGCGGGAGATTTCCAAAAGCGGTATAAAACAATAGATAAATAAATTCAGTCCAGCAACGAGGCGCGGGCGATGTCTTCAGTGGCCATTTTCAAACCAAACTGATTTTCAAATCGATTCAGATGGCGCTGTAAATCTTGCGATATTTTATTTCACTCACTTCAGTACATTTCACATACTTATTGTGCATGGAAGAGGGACGACAGGTTAATTAATTATTTCATTACACGTAGGTCGAAAATTAAAAATGTGCTTGCTTGAGTAATGTTTTGTATTATTCTTGAGCACGCGTCGGCTATGAATATGTAGGTACCACTGTTAAGGAAAACATGTGAAAATCGCCTTTATTAGACGATCCCTTTGGAAGGTTTCGTAAGTAAGTTTTATTCTTGTGAAAGCAAAAGAAGTACAAAGTCACTTCCTAATATACTTTAAGTGGTGAATTCACTAAGTGATATTTCGTTTTGGAGAATCAGACAGTAATGTAAGGAAGTATTTGTTTGGATTTGATATGAATAAATGGAGTATAATTTCGAGGTAGTTTTGTTTTATTTTTTTTAAATCTAATCTAAAACTGCTTTTGTTTCTGGTATTTTGATGGCAAGATTATCCTGTCAATCGACCATAGCGCATCACTCGGGATAATACCATACAATGGCGTACTAGTTCGGCAACTTATGTCGACGGGCCAATCGCTTTAATTATCCGCCTCGTCCACTCGCGTGTAAAGATTATTTCGCCTGCCAAATGCACAGTGCGCGCTTAATATACGCTCTAGAGATAGGACTTGTCGATGCTTTTTGCGGTACTGTCGATAGACGATAGCAGTTGATTGACCGACGTTGTTAATTTGAAAAATATTATTTACTCCAGTTAGGGGTTGATGCAAAGCTCATCTCATCTTCTGATTAGAAAGCAATACATTATTTCCAACTAGGTAGTTTTCTTTTATGCGTCTTTTGATCACAAACAATATTCAAGTATTTTTTACTAAGTGTAAAAGCTATTGAGCTTAACAATAGGTAAAGCCTATTGCTAGTACTTAGTCACGATCTAATAGACATTGTCTTGGAAATGTGCAAGAGAACTATACATGTATGATTGATTAGGCACTTATGATTTGTAATGTAATTATAGCGTAATTATGCTCTAAATACAGCATCGAAGACATTACGTTTAACCATATCCTAAATGCCATAATACTTACCTGCTCAAAATAGTAAGCTCAACTGATCCTCGACTAGGCTCAGCCGTGATTGAGGCAGGTAATCATCGAGCACTGGCGGGGCGTCCCTGCAGGACTAACACGACCGACAATGGATCCGCAGAATCAGATTATTACCTTATTTGAACAGATCATGTATTGAAATTGATAAAATCGTCTGCGGTGCGAATGGTTCAATTTATCCGCTCAATGGGATCGTAGAGGTAATATGTTAAAATCTATTTTAGCTACACAACATTCTATTTTCTTTGGCTTCGAGCGGTCGTCAGTGGAATTTACTGTCCATAAATGTCGCTTATATTTTCCAACGAAGCGCTGATCCGTTGGAAATTTGAAATCTTTTGAGAGTCGCCAAGTTTTTAATATTATTTATCTAAGAGAAAGTCGATAACAATATGCGAGTGGGTTGAATAGAAGTTCTTGCGAATAATTTTGTAGACCACGTTGTCGGGATGGTGATCTAAAATGGTTCAAGGAATGACGTCGATACTTATTGTTTTGTTCAACTTTGGGGTGTGCTTTTTTAAAATATTTTTGAACGTGGTGATTCACAGTTCGTGGAAGTAAGTTCCTACCTGAGAAAGGTGATACTATGCTCAAGTTTTAGTAGCAATGGTAATTTACTTATACCAAAGTCGACTTCTTTTACCAATAACAACTAGAACGCAATGTGACTACAAATAGCTGTATTTCCTAAGTGCCAGTCAGCACTAGTGTCCTTTATTAGCCGTTGCTAAGCAATGAAAAGGATTAAGAATAGATTGCAATCAATAAGCCGACAATACTCTATCATGGGAAACGTCCAATTACTCGCAAGTGTTGTCGATTTGAATGTAAGGCTGGGTTGCACCATCTTACTTTAACTTTATCTTACAAACTTAAAAATCTGTCAAACTCCATAAAAAGCACCGGTCATTGTCAAAGTTACGGTCAAAATTAGGCGGTGCAACTAAGCCTAAGTTTTTAAATTGATGGACCTACCTATTTGTACTTTTAGTGGCTGTTCATAGATGTTTAAACTCTGTTAAATCTACATAATTGATACTCTAATGATTTTAAGTAGAATTTCATGTTCTGCTTGTATTTCAGATTCAATTAGCAATAATGTATGAACCTTAATTAGCCACATATCTGTATTAACAGATTCTATTAGAGTATTGTTTGTACTTATCTACTTTTAGTATAGAATCGGAGCACATTATTGTTTTTAAAGTTTTAATACTTTTACATTCTTAAAATTATTGCATATTGGAAGATGGACATAGGTAATAGAACAGTAAAACGAAAATCCTTTCTTAAACCGATAAATAGAGTTGGTAACACGTTTTTATATTTAAGGCATACCTACTTATTTTTATTGTGGATTTGTAACAAAAATATAAAGACTGATGTACTACTGTCATTGTAAAGCTCGTCGTTATTCGTTAGTCAAAAAATATAATTGTTGCCATTAGTCATAAAATATACAAAATGTGCAATTTTACCAAAAAAACTGTGCATTGTGCAAAATCACTACGACTTTAAGACTATCTGATCTACTAGCCCACTTTCCCGATCGAATCTAAGCCAGTTTATTAGCGTTACAGTACTTTTACAGATTGGATCGTTCTGAAACGAGGCAAATTGCTAGAAAGAGGTCCCTTTCCTACAGAATAGAGTCACGTATCGTATAAGGAGGGCTGTAGAGTAGGGATGTTATGGATATGTAGTTTCGGTTACGGATACGGTTACGGATATAGGTAAATATTATACCTGTTTCGGATACGGTTACACAGATATCCGTGCTTTAGAATCCAATTTGCAATAGTTGTCCAACACGGTTCATTCATGGCCGCACAATTTACATCGAATAAAAAGGAAAATAAATAAATAAAGAAATACACTAGATGGCATTATAAAGGTAAATCAGGCTGTTATGCCTTTACATATGTACAAAAAACAATTTAAACTGCCTACATCCGAAACTATCCGAAACTTTTAAATCGGTTACAGTTACGGTTTTGGATATTTTTTTATTTCGTATATCCGAAAGTTTTGGTTACGGTTACGGATATCCTTAACATCCCTGCTGTAGAGGCGACTTTCACTGGAGGCATGCGAATAAAGGCCAGCTGAAAAGAATTGCCTATAGGAACACATGTCCTGAAATTGAATTTCAATTTCTGATACTTTTTTAAGACACTCTTATCGTTTACTTTACGGAACTCTTTACTATCGACTGATTTGGAAAATATTTTGCTGAAAATCTCACAAATTCTTATTTCTGAAACAAATTACGTTAGCAATAGCTTTAAAGGTATAGTTGTCTTTATAGTAGGTTTAAATAATTATCTTCAAATGGACTGACTGATCCATACTGATATCCATACTTGATATGGTTTCTCATCGTTAATTCTCATTATTAACCTTCCTTAATTTACAGCTAGACATAGGCCTCCCTTTAAGCATATCACTGAATTTTCTTCTCTTTCATCCTATTTATTACAATATTATGTCACTTTCTCTTGGTCTAATGTGTCATAATTATCTTTTATATTTACTAGATTTCATGAAGTCATAGTTTTAATAAATGGTATACTTACATACTTACTTAGAATCCTTGATGGCGTCGGTCGCGTGCCTCGTACTACTTAGTCAGAGAGCCTTGTCTTTGAATGACATGAAACCACTCATTAATTATGCTTTTAGTATATTACTTGTTATTGTCACCAACAGACATCAGATTCATTGTGTTTGACATATTTATAGCAGGATTTGCTTTAGCAAGACTCAGATTTGAGGTATAGTTTAAACCATTTGTTATTCTGTTGATTGCCACTTCATTTTGTTTTGTTTGTGTGTGTTAGTGCATCAATCTCCTATGGGAGATGTGTGTCAATATTGTATCAATGCTATTGACAATGATCGATTGAAAGCTTCCAATGCAGGTGATTCGTGTGAATGCTTAAAGCATTTTAATTAATTCGATTCAAAACTTTCAGTGTATGGTAAATATGAATATTATCGACAACAAAATTTTTTGAACACTCCTCAATTAAAATATCGTGGAAATCACCAATAAAAGTGAATATTCATGAATATCATTAAAATGTGCCTTTACAGTAAAATTCGCAAATTAAGCACGCCTTTATCCTTTCGTATTTATTTTGCTGTTGATATATTGGGTGTAAGTAACCTTTACATAGTGGTGTAAATAATGGTTTCGGTAATTTTGTATTGTTTTACTGAATATTCTACAGCGAGACGATAATTGGAAAATTGCGTATTATATTACACCATTATGTTTAAGGTAGATTATATTCGAGTGGGGGTTGATCTTTGGATGAAAAAATAAAACAACTGATTATTGTTTGAACAATGTCCATATTATATTTATTACCACATACACACGGCACGATGTGAACCTTGTCTTAAATCATTGTATTATAATAGGTATATGTACATTGCACAATGTGTATACATACATCGCCATACACGCGCGCCCCGAAAGGCTGTATGATTATATATCTCATATTATGTACGTTATATAATGTAATATTCCAATAAGAGTGTGCACGAGTGCACAGTATCGGGGCGGCGGACAACCCACCGCTTTTTACAAAACGTTTTGATATTATCATTATTTTAATAAAGAGATGCCGTAAAAACTAATTTATTCATCATTACGATTTATATCCATATTGTATACAGATTCATGTAACATATTATACACGAAGAAATGACGAAAATAATGCGCCGAAGCCGCGACGGGAGTGTCGCGGATCGTTCGCCTATCGTTATCTCCTTTCTCTAATTTTAAATGTACATGACACCAAATTCGAACGTATATAAATCCAAATTTATTTTAATGTAAAATCTTAGGTAATTGATTTTTATTGCTATAGAAAATCAGTCAGCACGCGAAGCACGCAATCGAGAAGTAACCGCGAGAACGAAATCAAGCGGGCGGCGTTGCGCGGGTGTCAGGGGCGGGGCGGGAGGCGCGGGGAGGGGTGCGCGGGCGCCGGGCCCGTTTGAATTCTCATAGCTCTACTCATAGACACGCTCGGATGCTGCAAGTAAACAACCGATCGGCTGGGGTCGGTTCGTGCGGAGCCAATGCGCGTCCGGTTCTACGCGAATAAGTATACCTTTGGTCCTTGAAACATTAAGTTGGCCATCGCCGAATATGCAAAGCTACTGATCTATGGCCGCCACAGCGACTCTACGAACTTTACCAGTCTGTCACGTTATTAGATTAAAATTAATTATTATCTTTAATAACAATTTAAAGTAGATCGAGTGTAAAATAACGTAGAATGTCATTATACAAAATATAATAAATTATCTTTTTAATTTTATTATATATATACGATAAGTCGCAATATTAGGATCACAATTAACGAATTTTTAAAATAAATTTGAGATCTCGCTTATCATTACGTAGTCTTTATTCTGATATAGAACACATCTCTAAAATGGTGACTGAAGTAAACTAACGCGTACACGAAAAAGCGAGAGATCGGTGCGGCGGTCACGGTCACCGCGCGGTCGCGGTCACCGCGCGGTCGCGGTCACTTGGTGCCCGCGAGGGACGCGACCGCAACCGGCCGCACCGCGATGGAATGGCTTATACGTCACGGACTACTAGGTACTTCTTTTGGCTATTGATAAATTCCCTGATCAGAAATGGTTGGTTCTATTTTCTTTTCAAAAACTTCTAGGAAAAACTTTGTATCCACTAAAAGTTGTCGTTACAAACGTTGCTTCTAAATTCCATAGTCCGCGACAAAAAGCACTAAAGGGTGACACTAAAACAATCTCACAAATTGTAATAACAAACTATAACAACAACAATGAAACTAATATTCGTCAAGCTAATCCTGATTGCAGCTCCAATGAATCTAATATCGATCAGATGGTATCGACTAACAGCGCCCAACTATGACCGACTACACTCTGCCTTTTTAACTGACCTAGTCTTTGGCCGTGTGCTCTTACAATTTAAAGCAATCGATGGCTTCATCTTTGGCATTTATCGAATTCTTTCAAGAGTATACTAAAAGATATTGATGTTAAAACGCGAAATATTCCGAAATTGCCTCTATTTTTGTGTATACGAATAACTCTTTGGTGGATATCAGGTACCAGGTCTTTAAAAAAGCATGCGTATACATAAGTCGCTGTAGATGGGTATGCTCGTCAGCGTAATTGACGTTGACAGACGGGACGGGTACATCGGTCGCGCATATACATACGCCAGTTGGCGCTTACCTACACGTCTTTTTACACATGCGGCTAACTATGTATATACAATAATTGTCATTGTACCGTCTCGGTCGCGGCGAACCGATGGCTTCTCACGAACGCGGCGAAACGTACCTCTCACTATATGTTTGTTAGTATGTTTGTACTTACTCGCACGGGGACAAGCGGCCGTGTGCGCTTCTCCTTCGTTAAAAAGGTCGGTAAGAAAATATAATTATAGTGAGGATGTGACAGTGAATGAGACGGCCGACGGCGGCGAGGCGCGCCACCCCGCCGCCGGCCCGGGCCTAACAATTATAACATCTCATCGTAATAATTAAATATTCTAAGAAAAAATGTCTTAAATACCTATAACACCGTAAATATAAAACAAATAATTACGTTAATTTGTTAGGTATGATATCGATATCCGACCGTCCTATAGACTTCACACCTTTCGATTTCATTATCAATTTCCTAGCTAACGTTTTAACAACTTAATCGCGGTCGCGTCTCTTGCGGTGTGCGCGGCGCGGCCGCACGTGACGTCATCTCAGCGAACGAACTCGGCACGAACGAACAAAAAACGCGAAGCGAGCGCGCCGCCCGGCGACGAGCGCACTCCATCTAACACTCCATTATTCAATTAACTACATACTCATAAGTAATAAATTACCTTTAAAAAGAATATTGATTTATTTCGTATCATTTTCAATATTTTTTTTTTGTAACAGGAAACATTTATATTTATAACGTATTTATATAATAATAGCATTTAAAAGATTGTTTATTATTATTACCTAAAATTTAATACCTAGATTTATAATATTAATGTTTAATTGATGTAGGTAATGAGTAATAATAATAGTAAATAACGAATGAATGCAACCGAGTGCATGTGTGTAGTACGAGCGGCGGGCGTAGCGCGCCGTAGCGTTGGTGTTGGCTCGTAGCGCGCCGTAGCGTCGGTGTTAGCTCGTAGCGCGCCGTAGCGTGTGCTACGGCGTAGCGCCAGGCTACGGGCCGCTACGGGCGCCCCGCGGTCTCCCTAACTGTTGCAAACTAGACAAAGTGGTCGATAAAATGTCACCAGTACCTAACGAATATGATTAATGAATTGACTTCATATTTTATTCTATTACCTCAAACCTGCGCCTTTGGCTTGTATTTTTTTTTATATCCCTGTCTTTATTTTTATTGAAATATCAGTGTTGTGTAACTAGAACTGTTTGTATGAAAATTTACGGTTAGAGTTATTATTTTTGATTAAAATTTTAAATACAACTAAGTACGGTGTGACTCCTCATTTAAAGTGGAGTGTCATATTTTTTCAACAGTGGTCTTAAATTACGGTAAATACAATCGTAAGAAACAATGAAATATTATTACGTAATGCACAAAATTGTTATTTATTATATAATTACAATACCTACTTCCAAAGGTACAAGATAGAAACGAATTATTATCTTAACGCGATGAGAGATATTCTGAAATGTTCCGACTTAGCTTTCCAAACGTCCTTATGAATCGTAAATATGATCATATTATCCTTAGGATAAAATTTTATACCATAATACATAATATTAGAAGTATGTATACTTGTAACTAACATAGTCTTATACGGAAGTAATCGAGAAACTTGTTCGCTACTGAAACAGAACAGCCGTTCAAAGAGGTGATTTTATACAATTCGAATTAGGCGAAAATAATTACATTCATAGGTAAAATATGCATAATATATAATAGTATAATAATTATGTTAATATTTGACATTAATATTAAAAATAGATAGAATTAAATATGTGTTGGTGGACGAGCGAGGAGGCGCGCGGACGCAAAGTCGCGCACCGTTATTGTCTCCGGTCTCCAGCCGTCGCTTGTCGCGTCGCCAGTCGCGTCCTGTCGCGTGTCGCGGTCGCGTGTCGCGTGCGCGTTACGTCCGGCCGACCGGCCTACGCCGCTACCGACAACTCATCTCTAGCACGGACACGAAAATGACAAGCATTGCTAACGCGACCACTCTCGGTCGCTCACACTAACCACCTCCTATCATACATGAAAGCTTGCGATAAATACGGTAATGCGAACGCGCTCGGTGGGGATCAGAATCCAAAGGAAATCCATCGATCATCTACTGAAACACAAGTCCCGCGCGCGTAGAGGACACGTAGTTACACCTTATACTGTAATTTAACTATGAATAATAAAATATTTTAAGATATACTTCCCTGCAATAAAATGTTCTAGATGCAACTTTATATAATTATGAAATGTATTTTTTTGTAGTTTAAATTGTTTATTACTCTGACAACACATCTACGGTACAGTCGAAAGCGAGAAAAGTTTGAAAAAATACCTGTTCAATCGATAGACTATCTCTCGTTCACACGACAAAAAGTAGATTATCGTTATTTACAATAGACGAGATTTTCTCGTGACGGGTGGGGGGGTAGAAGGTGAGGGGGTTGAGAAGGGGGATGTGGGGAGTTGGAGGTAGGGGGGTAGAGAGTGATGGTGGGTGGAGGGGTGTGAGACGCCGCGTGGTCGGAGGGTGTGGTGTCCGACGGCGCTGGTCTGGTGCGCAGGAGTGGCGCTGGCTGTCTCGGAGGGCGTGGGGCTCGCGGCCAGGCTGCGCTCGGGTGATGCTACGCGCCGCCACACCGCTCGCCACCTTGTCACCAGAGTCCAATGTAAGTGCTTAGCTCATTCACAAACTATGGGAAGCCGACGGCAGACCGCGTAATCCTGGCCGATTTGTTATTCTGCTCAGACTGCAACGAACATTTCACAGAAATGTGGAGAAATTAGTCGACTACGGTAGAATTTACAGTCAGTCTGCCGTTGGCTTCCAGAGCAGACGATGTTGAACATATAAGAGATGCGCTCAAGTTATATGTATACCATTTAATTTAATATCTTCAATAGTCAGCAAACACTATTCATATCCAAATCGCCTTCAATATGGCAACAAAATTAAACCAAACAATACAGATAATTATACAACATTTACGTTTATCTTTATTGGATGTGTGAAAATAACAATCAACAGGCGTGGCGAATTGACATAAATTTTTATTTGTATTGCGTTTGCTGCTTTAATTATAACTTTGTACGGGCAACTAGTTCCATTAAATTTTGTGACCCAGTGTAATTCTTATGAGAGCGTTTAAAAAAACATTTGTGTTAATTTTCAGTGTTCATTTCTGTGGCGGCAACGATTACACACGCCGGCGTTTTTATTGCGCTATGTTCACCGTAACGACATTTTAATAGAGTGGGACGAAAGTGCACATAAAAAATTATACTCACGTAAAATATTTGTGCTATAACACTTTCAATGATAACCGTTGGTAAAAGCCGCAGGAATCAGGGGTCCCTGGAATGAAGAAAGAGGAAACATTAGTAATTCGCGATTCTAAAATGCAAAACATCGATGGGGAATGAGAGGAAAGTTGTGAATAAAATTGAATAAGTTAATCGAGTCGGCGGTTCATAATTGAATGGGGGTATAAAGCGTTCAGTGGAACATTAACCTCTCCGGGGGCAGATTTAAAGGTAGTAAGTTTGGTGTTCGCAGTCGATAGAGCGGTAGCCGGCTCGGTGGCCAACAAAATAAAAACACGGAGTGGATGAGTTAGAGCAACGCGCGACCGCCCGGCAACGGTAATTACACCGCTTGTACTCCTTGATTTAGTGTTATTGCCCGTGGGGGTATTCCCGTTACCTAATAAGACCGTTTTACACCCGGGAGCCACATGCGCTGGGCAGGCCGACTGGCCCGTTCATTCTCTCATTAGCGACGTATTTGTTTTGCCCAGGCGATTACGGACGATTGGGTTAATATCCCGTTTGATATATGACGCGCCTGAAACGGAAGGGTGGCTTAGTGTTGCCGAGACTCGGTTTACGCTCCGGAAAACAATCGGACCGATCCTGTAATGCCCCGGCCGGCTGTAAATCAATGATTGTTATGCGGATCTCAAGGTCGATGGCTGTCCTGTCCATTCGCTTTTTATTAACCATTTCATCCTCGGTAAAATATCCCATCACTCCCTTTTTAGCAAATTTCAAAAAATCTAGAGACTTTTCTGCTGCTACTGAATTTAATGTAAATGTAAGCTGCATTCACAATAAATGTGGCAGTATAACAAATTCTTAACAAAAAGAACCGCGACTACAAACAAGAGAAAAGATAAACCGCACTCCCAGTGTGGTCACCGTCCATGCTTCAAAATGGCAGCAGCGTGTTTCGCCACTATAAAAATTAAGTGAGCTTTCGAGTGCAGTATGAAAAATGTCTTCGAGATACAAGGACGTGAGGAGTTAAGATCTCAGCGAGGGCGCCGACAAGCAATGAAGACTGATGGCGTTTGAGGAAGCAGTTACGGAGCACGGTCGCAGTTTTAAAAAGCCATTACAAGCACTGCACCGCGTAGATTGCGCCGCGCGCCTCATATTTTGGAACACTTTATAATCGCATCTCTCACGCCTCACTCGCTCGCTAACTTATGGTGATTACGCTTTAAGAGCGACAAGGAAGATCGGTTCCGTAATGAGATTGGACCGTCTCGCTAAAATTTTAGTGTCGTCGACTGCTAATTACGTCTGCGGTGCCGAGCTGGCGATCGAGTGGCCCAACCCTCTTCTGCTTTATCCTTATATGAGTAACTGCTAATGAAATTTTTACCCGGCCAGCTTGAGGGCATTAAATATGTCGGGGACATGTGAAATTTGCATCTTGCTACAGAATATTACCAACGGACTTTATAATGCGAGGAAAATGTTTAAAGCTGGGTGCTCAATCGAGTAGAGGGATAGGGCGTGTGCACAAAAGAGAGTTGTAAATTCAACTTTGATTCACCCTCTTTAATTGCCGCTGTGGTCCACCCCAGCTCATCAATGGGACCGCAGCCTTAAAAATGAATTTTAACATCTTGAATCGCGAATCAAAAGCCCTGAAGAAAAACAAAACAGAACAAACATTAATTTGAATTCCGTGACAGTTGAAAGTTCTCGAACAAGGACAATTTTGGGAATTGCCTTCATTTGGACCTTCCCGGAATAGGCATTTTGAACATGACGTAATAAATGAAAAAAGTTAGAATCAAAAGTTAATAACTTTATCCCATTCATCACGAAATAAAATAAGTATGAAACTTTCCTTACATTCATTCGGCAAAATACGATTTCAGTATTTTATTCCGCGATAACATGATTTTCATCTGAAATTAAAATCTCATAAAACTGTGCCTTGCTTGTTTGTACGTAACCATTATTAAGTTACGTTTTTGCAAGAATTCATAAGTGTGTGTAAAGCTCGGACGAAATAATTTCAAATCCTTTGAAAACTTTTATTATGAGAAAAATTTCAACCGCCCCATGTTTTGCGTACTCTTTGAAAAGATGCATACTTCTGTGTAGGCTTTTCTAAGCTAATGTTATCCTTGTTTTTCATCTTTCAGATTTGTAAAGAAATACTGAATTAAACTTGTTTCATTTGGGCCTCCTTTGGATGCACAGATCTCAAAGCTGAGATAGGGAAAGCTATTTTTATTCAAGGTATATGTCGGGAGAACATATAAATTGTTAGAATTATGCACAGCGATGAAGCAGGATGGGACCTTCACTAGCAATAATTTTGAGATAAATATTTTATTCGGGCAACTTAGTGAGGAAGCTAATAAACTTGTTAGTCCGAGATATTTAGGAAATTAATCCCTAAGACAGAAATTAACCAACTAGTAGTAATATGAAAAGGCAGAGCACGTTGCGCGTAAACTCGATAACCGCTAGGGAAGTATGGGGTTTGAATTTAATCCCCGTACTGAATACCGTAGTATAAATCGACAACTTTCTTCTTACGAATTCCTTACCTATATACCTCCTTATTGTTGTCTAGCTAACATCAGTGCCGCATAATAATTTATGACGATGAGACAAATCTACTTACATATTATGAGTGTAGAGACATACCTGCCGAACTCTCAGTTGCGTTGGTTTAAAAACTAATGACTACGTTGAATGCATTGTTGTGGAAAAGAAATGTACAGGAAAAGTTTATCAATACACTATGTAATTTCAGCTGCTGTGTCATGGCCTATTTAAAATCACTGCGAGAAAAGAAGAAGTAGCAGAAGTAGTACTGGAGGAATACTGCCACTGTATTTTTATCATCGTAACCAATCTTTTATTCATTATTTAGTTTCCACTGCAGGAGCATGCACTCTAAGGCTGGGTTGCACCATCTTATTTTAACTTTGACAAACGTCAAAAATCTGTCAAACTCCATAAAATAAAACACCGGTCATCGTTAAAGTAACGGTCAAAGTTAGGTGGTGCAACTCAGCCTAAGTTCCCAGAGGTAAATGGAGGATTCGGCCTACACTCCCCACGCTGGTTAAACTGGCTCTGGAGACTGTACCACATGTGGCTAAACCAAAGGAAACTCACTGGGGTGTAATTGAGGGGGGCGCGGCTGACTGCGATCGCGGGGAAGCCTGAGGGCTGGGGGCTGGCCGCTTGGACGTATCCCACGCTGTCTGCAGCGGATCCGTACACGTCCAGCGCTGGCCCCGGCGAGCTGGCGGCGGGGAATCCGGCGCGGCCTCCGCCGGCGTGCGGCGACGCTGGCGGCCCGAATCCGGCGGCGGCCGCCTGGTAGTTGTTCATCACTGTGGACAGGTTGAGGCGTGTATCAGAACTGTGCGCGGTTGTGGCCAGGGCTGCCAGGCAATTATCGACTCTATTGTTTTCAGATTTTTACTCGGATTTCTCAAAGATTAAAGAATTAATTTTACTAGATTAAAATATTAATTGCACTCGTTAATCTCGTGTATTATTGCACTTGGAAACCCTGGCTATAAGAAATCAAAATTTTATTGAATTTTCTTCTTAAACATCAATATAACTTGTGTGAGCTTGTTTTGTTTGTGTAGTGTATCCATACATCTATGAACTAGTATACAGCGAATCCCTTCTTTGAGTTTATACTGATGTACCATTGTGAGTAATATCCGCTTCCAATACGAATAAATATGCGATTGCAAACATTAATCAGGTGCAGTACACAATGAAATGTAAGTGCATTCTGTAGACTACTAGGGAATACAACGTTGTACCTATAAGGGTAAGGGCAATTCAGCAGAGCACATGAAGCGACAGATACTGTTAGTTCCAGGAATGTTAATAGGGGTGATGATGAGGTGAGAGTGATGATGGCGACCGCGTCCTCACCTGACAGCGCCTGTGCGAGCAGCGGTGTGTTGTTGTTCGGTGTCAGTTGCCCGTTGGTCAGGTCAACTGCAAACATACACATGGTTCGCATTCGCTCCACGGAAACGAGTGACTCACTCGTTAGTGACAGCACACATACATCCATGACTGAACCATCGACACTTTAAAATTCGAAAACTCGCGACCCAGCCACCTCATCTTTACCGATTTTAGCATACAGAACGGTAAAGTGACTATCTATGTAATACCAACTCAATATTAAAGTTCTCCAGAGCGGATAAAGTTGAAGCGCGTAAATGCATGAATAATTTAGCCGTTGGAGACAGATGCCGTGCTGACGAATGAGGACAGAGACGACTCCGCGGACCAAGATTATGTCGGAACAAAAAAATATCACGTATGTCACGTGCATTCAAATGAAAAAGAGAGCTCGAAGTTTCGCGGGTATAAATCACAGAGGGCGAAAAAACTTTTACAAAATATCCAGTAAATTATCCGACGTGAGTTCTCGCTGGCACGCGGCGGTCTGCTTATTGAATAGGGAAGGGCATTAGCATACAGTGCACGTCGCAGCGCCGGCGCGGCCGCCGCCTACGCACTACACCTCAAACAGATTAACTCTGCGAGAAATCGTCTTCCCGCCTAATCCTGCACTTTAAATCAACAGATTAATATTCCTCCACACTTTCTGCTGGCTCATAGTGTCACCATTACCCCTATTGGCTTGTACGACAAATTTTATTTTTGTCAGATGCGCGAGTTATGACTTAGTGTGAAAAATGGTGGTTCGCGGTCGCACCAGGTGATTACCGGCCTGCGAGTGACTTTGCGAAAAAAGTACAATATAAGTAATGGAGGATGGATGATAGATGGCGCGGCGTCCGCGGGCCGCGTGGCCGCGCGCCTGCGCTCGCTCGCGCGCTAAAATGCTGACACATTTTAATAACATTACTTTGGATGTGAGAGGCTATTTATTTGAGGGTCGCCGAGTAATAAATAAGAATTTAAGTGATGGTGTGGACGCGTCTCGCGATCGTTAGCGTGGCCGAACGGAGCTCATTCTTTCCCCATTAGTGCGAATACCGCAAGTAAGCATTATTTGTAGCCGTTAAATAACGTGAAATGAAATTATTGACGATACAAATCAACAAAATATGGGGTTTAGGGTTTATTAGCTTCATTTCGATGTTTATCTGCGTTCGCATTTTATATTCAACGTTGCCAGTAATTTACAATGTTAATTTGGTAGAGCTTTAGTCTTGTTTTTGGTTTACAATGCAAGGCTGAGTCGTTTTAAATTGAGATTTTGTTTGAGACAGCGCAAAAGAACGTTTATCGTGTGTAATAAACCGTGGAATGGTTACACAGCATCCCGGACAAGTGGTTATAAACATCGGGCGGCGCTTCAATCATACTTCACGAGCCGGTTCACAGCAAACAAAGTCACAGCCAGGCCCAACTTAGTTGTGCGAGGCGTGTTCCTGACCTCAAATAATTTACGACTTAAACAATTGAGTTAACGGCTCGCGGCGCGGGCGAGTTATCAACACCGGTCATATCTGCCCCCGACATTAACTCTCCGAGCGCAGTTTAAGCCCTCGTGTTTACATATGCCCCAAATGTAATTTGTGCGTGTAATAAATAGTTCAAGTTACTTCAAGCTTTGCACGGCAAAGGAGCCAGAAAATTGAGTCATCTAAGCAGAAAGTGAGCTCGCGTGCCTACCGCCCATGCGAGTTGAACGCTTTAAAACGTACGTAAGTTATTCACGTTATGACGTTAACAACATTGTGAACAAACATCATTTGCTTTAAAAAATAACTATTTTAACATTATTTACTAGGCATTATCGTGTCTTTTTATAGGTTCGTGCACGTTAAAGTTACATGCTGTGTCATAACGTCGTAAATTTCACAGGTCGGTTTAACCTTTGTGGACTGCTAAATGCTAGCACGTGGTCGTAATTCAAACGCCGCGTCTCACCTTTCATGGCGGCACACATTCATCTATAAATTCAGAGGCCGTCTTACGCGAGCTATTGGAACTTTCATAATTGCGAAGTTCGGGAAACTTAATAATTCTTCTTCTGAAGTAGGATGACGGTCGAACGAAATATTCACGGGGCGTACTCGCGTAAGTCTCGCCCTTCGAGCTAGTATATTACGCGAGCCTTTTTATGTATAACAATGTTCAACTCCACTTCGAAAATCGGGCCCCGGAATTTTCGCAAGGTATGTGCGGGTGGGTGTTTTAGTGTTACATGAGAAATAGGAGTTGGAACCTCGGAAATTTGTCGGCGCTTTACTGGAATAAAACGCGAAAAGTTAGTGTTTTTGTTGAAATGAGAGCATAAAACTGAGGGCGGAATTCATATGCCTAACTATCGAGAGGGTAGAGGGATTGCGAATCTAATTTGTGGAGCACTAATATTTGATTGCGTTTTTAGGAGTTCGTCAACTCCAGCTACGGTGTAGGTTTGTTCCTGAATTGATTTGAAGACTCACAAAGATAGATATAAAAAGTTAGATTATGTAAAAAGTGAACTATGAGGCAGGTTACGAGCACCCATTAGTGAAGTTCGCGGCGAAAACACTCGCGTATATAAAAGTTGGGCGGGCCCATCTCTCACACGCGGGATCCTTATACTTCATTTCCCACTTGGCTCGATTGAAATGTTTTATTTGAGCGTTTACTGGATATCCCGGCTCCCACACACGTCTCGTACCGAAAACGTATATTTAATAGGTGCCATCAATAACTCGCCGCGAAGATGATACGCTTTTGCAGGTTTTCGATCGTTTAGCCGTTGGGACTTATCTTAATTGCAAATTAATGGAATTTCTATGCTGGCTGGTGCCGGCGACACGCACTCCGCCGATTTGTAATTCAAAGAAGGGGCCATCCTTTTTTAAATCTCGGTAGTTCCCCTGAGTACGTCTTATTGCGGTTCGCTGCCTCATCTAAAAACGCGTTTTTTGTTACACTGCATCCAATTCACGCCGTGGTTCAGCCATAGACGAAACATGTAAAGCGACGTTAAAAAAAGCAAAAGAAACTCGAATATGTACCTCCGTCAACAACACACAATTTCAAAATCCAAAATTATCTCGCTACTGATTACTAATTTTTCAATTAAAACTGTTCTACCCATGTAGTCAAATTATAGTTGCGGATTAATTCCACTTACTTTCTACTGAATTTTCTACTGTTTAAATTACATTATCACTATTCTATGTAAAAAATAGAAATTTGTCTATTCTAATTTGCGATTAAAACTTTTGATAACATTTTAACTCGTTTCTATAACAATTACGTCTTTTTCTAAGGCACAAATTGATTAAATTACAATAAAACTCTATTCTAGGTATAAAAGTCTTAAAACTAACGCTCTATAAGAGTTTGCACCACCAATCACAAAGTATTTTACCACCTATTCTATTAGCTTACGACGCTACATACTTTTACAAAGCACTCTGAAATCTTTTTCGCTTCTCAACTGATCCTTAAAACTAATCTCGAAGCTCCACTAAAATAATAGTAAAACGCCCGATTTTTCTGTCTAAATCTAGAGAGGCTATTTAAGTTTGATAATTCTCTTTAACGACCAGAATGTAATCTACACACTTTTCTTTGTCTTTTACTAACTTTTTGTCTATTCTAGAGTCTATAATATGTACCGGCTTTGGCTACATTTGACTATTTTACTTTTAACTTTGTAACTATTACAATTCTACTTCAATTATTTTTTACTTTATAAAACCTCTTCAATACGTTTACACACATTATTACCTACGCTATTCTAGTTCTCGATAACAAACAGATCAAACTTTACAATGTTCAAAAGAAGTTACTCGCCCTATTTTTGTAGTAGACGACTCTCCGTATTCGGCAGCCTGCATTCTTTCTTGGTACCACAGACTTTGTTTAAACACGTCAACATTTCTATACTCTGTACTGTACATCGTTAGGTAAATCCCTTGTCCCCGGTGGAGCAATAGAATTGACGATTATACACTGAATATACTCGTACGTTAGAACAAGGGGCTTAAGAGCCATTACACTGTCTATGGTCCACCACAGACGGCCTCCACCGGCCACGCAGGGAGAAAGGACTTACTACGCGTACCCAATCACAGCGCAGGGAGTGCACTCAATCTGATGCTAACTAGAAGAGATTAGTATGCTAATAGTGCCCATTATGGTCTCGTGGACACACTCCATTTCGGTGAAATTCTACAATAAAAATTTATGGGCGATGGAGCTCGCTAGTCTAGCGTTTATAGTCAAAATCTATGGACATCCATAAAACAAAACACTATCTAAAACAAACAAAAATAAAATTTCTGACCCATCCAAACACAGCACTCTTACTAACCGGCGAGCCGGACTAGGAGGTACTCTATGAGCTATTATTTACATGAGAATCTAAGAAGTGCTGTGGAGGCCAGCGCGAACGAAACCGCGCTCCGACCTAAGCAACAAGCACTAAACGTAACAGTTACTAACACAATTAACGGTCAAATATCTTAAATTACAAATGGAGTTGGCACCGTTCACGACACGCGGCCACTCGCCGCCTCGCCAGCTAATTATTTGGATCCAAACCGACGGCCATGTGACTCTTTAAGGAATTTAGTTTCAAGGCGCTAATTTGTTGGGCTTTTTTGTGTTAATTCGCGTTCGGTTCTGGAGTGCTAGCGGGTGGGAGGAACTATGCAAAATAGTTGTGTGGATGTCTAGTTCGCTGCATTCTGGGGGCGGGTGTTGAATGTGTGGAATTCTGGGCATGCGGCGGCGGGCAGGCCGCGGTCGCACGTGCCTTCCTAGGATCACCATCGCCTGCGCCTTGTCTGCTGGCGGGCGCGGTGACTGCCTCAAAACCCATTCTGCACGATTGTTTCTTCAACCCACGCCTATTGAATCCATTCCAAATACACTTCATGAAAACTATCCGAACGCCTCGCAAATCCCTAAATCTATGCAAATTTCAACCTACTACGACGGAATGTTTTCCCTAAACTAGCCTAGTGCTACTGCTTACGGCGGTGGTTTATCTTTCCCGTCCG